CGTGCTGGCGGCCGCTGGGCACGAGTCACCGCTAACACCGATGAGGACTTCTGCCAAATAAATAAATAAATAAGTAAATAAAGGATGGTATGATATGGCCCTTTGGGAGGATACTGGCAAATAAGCAAATTAAACAGAAAGAGAGCAGCAGGTTGTCATAGCAACAGCGCAATTAAATTACTTTACTGTCAGCCATCATATAATTTTCCTGTTTAGAAGCTCGTGGGACAGAACTTCCATTTGGAGTCAAAGTTGGCTTTGCGGTGTAGGTAAGCGCTGCCTGTGCCCCTGCACCGCAGCAATCCTGGCGTTTGTCGCCCAGCTCCTAGATTCTGCTTGGAAAGCTAGGAAGTGGGGAGGAGGGGAGCCTGGCCCCCCCCCGTGTTTGTGTCCCTCCTGGTATTTGTTCCTCTTCCAGAGCGTCGTCTGTCTAAAACCACAAAGGCTGGTTGCTCCTTTTCAGTGATTGTGTGTATTAACGTGCTTGGAAGTTCCACGCGTTTCTGTTTTAATAATGGCTGCTTTTGTTTAAAGTATTTATAGAAAGAGCTGAAGTGGCTTTCCTTTTTTATTTTTCCCCTTTGTAACATCTGAAATATACTCTGTCTTTTTTTCTTTCCCAGAATGGCCTTCTTCTCTTCTCTCTTTTTTTTTTCTCTGTAGATATGTGGCTCATTCTGCTGCTCCCTATAATTTTTTCCCCTTCATTTCCATTATTAAGCATATGACTGTATGACTTTCAAAGGCGCCTTTGCTAGCCCCCTAGATACAGGGAATCTCTTTGCTCTTGTTCAGCACTTCTGCAGGAGGCTTCCTAGTTTTGAAATGAGTTATTAACTCTTACCAATTTTTATTTCACTGCTGTTCTCCAGACCTGAATTCTTTCAGAGTTTTCTTTTATGATGGGAAAACTAAGGGAATATCTTTCCTGCTTCTGAAGTGGAGTTGTTTGGCTCCTGTCTGTTGCTGTTGAATTGCACAGACAACACAGTATGCACAGAAGGTCTGAGTTCTTCTGGCTGTTGCTGGTCACAGTTACCCCCTTGGGGCCAGCTAGTCCAGTGTCCTCAGCAGCTCATCAGACTTCTCCTTGGTCACTGCTAAGTATCATAACATTCGTTCCCAACTCTATTTTCTACCACGTTCAAAATACATTTCAGCTTATGTTGAAGTCTTCTTTGTTTACATACATTTTTAAAGTGCTTTATTCCTCTGGCGCTTGGTTCCCTGTATCTTGGCCCTGGTCCCAAAACTACTGTGTGTTGCTTTCCCTCTTCTCTCCTCCCACCCTTTCTGTTTTTGAGGTTCTGCTGTAATTTTTGAGTTTTGTTGCAACTGTGATTATAGTTAGATTTGGTGCTTGTCTGCCTGTGCCTTTAGCCAGAGTGACTTTAATCACAGTGCTGTTGTATTCGCCTCTAAAGTGAAACAGCTGAACTTAATCTGAAGCAACTGGCCTTAAGCTCCTTTATTTTCTTTTTTTTTTTTAAGTTTATATGCTTATTAAAGTGATATGATTGGTGTATTCAATGATTTGATACACATATTTGTTGTTAAAGGAATGTGTCTCTAGGATTTCCTGTGTGGGGCTTCAAGTACATGCAGAATTGAGGCATATCAGGATTACCATATTATTCCATTGACTGAAATTTCTTTCCTTTTCCTGACTTTAGTTTATTTTACTCAACATTTGTGGATGAGTGTTTTTGCAAGTCTGTCATTTTTAATATAAATTGCAGAAGGCCCAGTTACTGGTTGGGGAAAACCTGTCAAAATGTTATGCTGTAGCTTTTCATGAGCTAACTTTTTTCTCTTTCTTTTTCCTCTTATTTGGGATTTGCGGTCCTAGGAGTATCTGTCTAAATGGGTCCAGTCATGCCTCCCAGTAAGAAGCCGGAGGGCTCAGGAATTAGTGTTCCCAGCGGACTGAGCCAGCGTTACCAAGATAGCGATCTATCAAAGGCACTTCACGATGATGAGGACCTAGATTTCTCTTTGCCTGCCATCAGATTAGATAAAGGGGCCATGGAAGATGAAGAACTAACTAATTTGAACTGGTTACACGAAAGCAAGAACTTGCTGAAAAGCTTTGGGGACTCGGTCTTAAGAAGTGTTAGCCCAGTTCAGGACATCGGTGATGACACGCCTCCATCTCCTGCTCACTCTGACATGCCCTACGATGCCAAGCAGAACCCCAACTGCAAACCTCCTTATTCCTTTAGCTGCCTCATATTTATGGCCATTGAGGACTCGCCAACCAAAAGACTGCCTGTAAAGGATATATACAACTGGATCTTGGAACACTTTCCATATTTTGCAAATGCACCCACTGGATGGAAAAATTCTGTGAGACATAATCTATCCTTGAATAAGTGTTTTAAGAAAGTGGACAAAGACAGAAGTCAGGTAAGTTTGGAACTGTGGAAACGTATCTGGCTCTGATAAAATTCACTTGCTAATCCTAGACTGTATTCACAGTGGTAAAATGCAGAATATGCTGTCCCTGGTAATGTAGTTCATTATATTCAGAGAGCCAACATTTCTTTAGCATGGCTCATTCTGATTTTATTAAATTCATTGTCTAGACATCTGTAAGAAAGTACTTTGTGTGCGTGTGTGTTTTTTCTTTTCCCCCCAGCTGGTGTCTTCATGCATAGTGGTTAAATATTGTTTTTAGTTATCATGCTGTGGTAATGGTTTCCAGCTATACTAGATGAATGTAATCATGTTATAAATAGGCTGCTTGCTGTTCTTGGCTTATACAAATGTATAGTGAAAGAATATGCCTTATATAAGAGTCCATCTCTCTTTCCCCGGTGTGTGCTGTAATCTGATTTTTTTTTTTTTCTTTTTAACAAGTAGAAGTAGTTTTGAATTTTGGTGTTGAAGCTTCATTCTGTGTATTCAAAAAGACCTTACTTCAGGCAGGTTTTAGAGAAACTCTCCAAACAGAGGAGAGAAGTCTTTGATCAAAGGTGAAAGTTACCATCCACTGGAAGTTCGGTTGTTCTCTCTCTGGGCTTGGGCAGCTTCTGCGAACAGTGCGGTGGCAGAAGTCTGGGGAACAGATTTTTGCTTTCGGGTTTCTGTTGTTGTTGTTGTCTGGTTTCACTGCTGAATCTTCCCCTGCGTCTGTGGGAAGAGGCAGTGTGTGAGGGAATGGGGAAATGAACCGAGCAGTGGAGGCAGCGCTTTGCATAACCTTCTCTTGCATAAATCTGTCTGGGAACCGTTATCAGTTTTCAAGGGGTCCAGTCTTCGGAAGCAGTGGTCTGCATGAATCTTTGGCAGAGTATGAGTGAACTGAGAAAAATATCAACCTGCAGATTAATTACACAGGCTTTCTCATAGAGTAGTGAAATAAAATAGCAGGTAAAATCACATCACTGACTGCACTTCTCTAAAATTGGCTGAAGATCAGAAAGTAAACACTTTCTTCTGACTGAAACAATAGATGAACTCAACTTTTGTATTTCAGAACTAAATTCTGTGATTGTCTTGTAACTGGTTACCCTGACACTAGACTTCTGTTGGCGGTGCTGTGCTGTTCCCTATTTTGGGTGTGTTTTAACTTTAAATGCTGTGGAACAGAAGCTAAAATAACTCTGTAGGAAAAATCCTATGTTACCCTAAACTAACAGCTTTTCTTTTTAGATTACTTTTATATCTCTAGAGTTTACTTTTTTAAATGAACAACTTTTTTTTTTTTCCCTCAAGTGTCATTCCCCAAAATTCACCATCCACACATTGCAGATCACATACCATTTGTTGATATTTTTATAAATTAGCTGCTGTGAACGACTGTGCATGAGATTATAAAACCAGTTCCTGAACTGGATCTTGTTTTGTGTAAACTGGAGTCTTAAATGCTTGTTTGGAAGTGAGACGATAAGGAGTGCCACACCAGACTTGTATGATCCTATTCCAGACCATAAGAAACCTTAACAATACATTATAAAACATGGAAATATTGTAACTGGCAAGGCATGTGTTTAACATTGCCGTTTGTGTTTTGTTCTATCCCTCTTCCTCTGTTTACAAGTTGACTATTTAGATTACAATTTCCTTCCTATGAGGAACTTGTCTTCATGTATATCTGTCAAATATCCAGCAGTCTTCGGAGATCATGTGAACAATACCATGAAGCACTTGTCCACAGGGAAGTGAAGAAACACAATGTGTGACTGGTCACCCATATCTAGAATTCATGATTAGAGCCACGGTTATGTAGCTAGACAGTAAGGTGTGGTGGAAGTCCTGCCTATATATTAATAACAAGGTGAGGTTTTACTCTTTCCTGGAAAAGCCCAGGCTGTGAGAAACAATTTCTTCCATCCTTCTGTGCTCCTCTGCTCCTAATAACTACCCAGTAAGTCTCCTGGTAATCAGTATTAAGGTGACGGAGATGAGAATCGCAAACTTGCGGTGCATACAGCCAGGTCTTCTAAATACCCTGCTGGTTTTTTTCTCTTGTGTCCTAGGCCAAGGGAGGTGGCAGAGCGGGAGCTGAGTGCAGAATTGGCGCTCAGTTAGGATTGCTGAATCAGGGGCTTGACAGCTAATTGCAGACTTGGAAAGCAGCAAACTTTACCTGGTAGCTTTAAAAATACACAGTGGCACGTACCCTCCCCACCCTCCCCTTCTGAGTTGATTTGAGTACCTCACAGCGAGCACCTAAATTGTTCAGAAGTAAACCAGAGATGCTGTCTAGATTTTATGTTTAGAGCAGGGATCTGGGGGAGGGGAAGAGAAGCACTATCCTATATAAGGTATTATTTCATGACAATTCTTCCAGTTTGTAGCTGGACTCAGCAAACTTGCTGGTTTGGAATCTGCCTGTCTTCTGATGTGGAAAAGGCATTTAGCAAATGGCAAGTCCTCAAATGTTAACAAGCTAGGCTCTGAAACGCGTACAGTACAGGGGGAAGGAGTTAATCAGTGTTGGGAATTGCAGACATTTGCTAGTTGATGTGTGTTGACACATTGTGAAAAGCTAGAAGCTTTTCCTCTCATAGTTGTGCTTTCCAGCGTTTGTTTGTGTAGTCTTTTAGTAATCGTTTTTCTAAAAAAAGTTCTGCTGAACACTTAATTCTTTTTTGAATTCCCTCAGCATAGTCGTTTTCTCAGTCTTGGCCTCCACTAGTTTATATTCATGGGGCTAAATATGTAGTTAATAGTATGCAGCTTTTTAAGTATGCATATGAATGCTTGCATTTCCTGTGGCGAGATCCTTGTGACAGAAAAAGACCCACAAACTGCATCACTTCAGGTTTCAGCTTGCCTCTTCTGATGTTTTTAGGTCTGATGTGTGGAATGCTGGGAGAAGACATTTTTCTCCTAGGATTTGTTTATATATTGCTGCTGTTCCTGAATGATAGACTTCAACTGCAGCACCATCGGCTTACCTGGCAGCCCTACAAAGTGCCTATTCATGTAACTTTGCTGTGAGGCTGATCTCCTGGAGCCAGACAGAGAGAAGGGCTGAAGAAGGGCGAATGCTGAGCCCTTGACAGAGCAAACTTCTCTGCATTGAGCTCAGCAGTTTAATAATAGTTGGCCAGAGTATAAAGTGTCACATGATGGGAAGTATAAGAGGAATTCCCTGGCTTTGTTTATACCACTGGACCTGTGAATTCAGTCATTCAGATTAATCCTATTGTGAACATAAAGATTTAAATGTCCTCTAGTGTATGTCCCATTTAGTACAATGCGTTAGCCCATGACTTTTCTGACTTCCCTACCATCTGGTCCTTGGCTATAGAGAGGAATTTTTCTTGTATATGTGTCTCCATAGCAACGAGTTTGCAGTTGATATGGAAAGTAAGCAGTTGCCCTAGCAACGGAGTTACTGATGTGGCAGCTTCTCTGCTTGCAGGGAAAGGGCTAAGCTAGTTCAGACGCATTATGTAGGTTTGCTGTAATTATAGCTGCGCCCACTAGTGCTGCTGTAGCTAAGGGTCTGCTGAACGAATTTATTAGAAGCCCTATTTTTTTCCCCCTTGAAGATTCATGGTATTTGCATAGGGATTCCTGTTTTGAACAAAGACTGATAAGACTGTATTTTCAGGGCATGTGGTATGTGTATACCTTGAAGGAGTGCAAACTTTCTCAGTCATTATTATCAAATAAGTGGATGAGGGCAATGAATGTTGGACATTGTTGGCTTTTAAAAAAATCTTTTTAGTCTCTGTTAACGGCACACAGTCATAAAAGCTGGGGCTCTTGTCTCATGCTTCTTTCTGCTATTCTGATGTCTTTTCCCTGGTCCGTGCCTTTTTAGACATCCACCCTGTCAAGAGGGTTCCTCTTTGTGTCTGTTCTGCGTTGTCTGAGAAAGGGATACGCACACATGCCCCTGACTGTGTGCACACTGAGGACATTCAAGACTCTTAAAGGTTTGTTTGGCACTTGTGCAGAGGGACATCTTAATAAAAATGTAATGAAGGTAAGGGATATGTTTATGGGGATGGGAGAATAAAATTCTCCTCACTTGATGTAGAGGTTATTCTTAGAAGTACGTGGTCCATAACTGGGTCATGGAGATCCAGCCAGGCTCCTCCTCTGTCTGGAGCAGGCTGTGAGATCTGAGGGACTGCTTGAGCAGTCTTTGGGCTCTGAGAGAGCCCGCTTCAGAGTTGTCCTTGTCTCACACGCTGCCTTTCCGGAGCCTTTCTCACTGGCCGCATGCAAAAGCCGAGCGGTAGGGGAATCCTTGCGGGAAGGACCCCAGCACAAGGCAGAGAGGCGTTTTGCAATTCTGTCCTGTGCATGTCTTTCTGTCCTGGTGTGTTAATGTCTGGGGTTTTGGCAGGTGAAACCCTAAGGAAAGATAAGAGCTAGCTAGAGTGAGAAGAAAAGGAGCCCGATTGTTCTTTATTAGGGTCTCTTAAGCCAATCTGCATATACACAAAGGCGATGGACTGGTGACAGTGTTCTCTCTCTCTTAACGTCATTTGAGAAGATCTCCTGTGAAAGCATATTTGGCACTCTGGGGACAGAAATGATCTCTTCCAGTTTTAATATTGTTATCACCCAGACTGACCCAAATAACACAAGCAGGAGAATTTCGCTATGTTTATAACATCTGGTGGAGCCAAAAAAAAAAAAAAAAACCCACCGAGTCTCATGTTAAAGACTTCAAATGATGTTGGCTCCGTTAATAAAATAATATCCTAAATAAGCTGACCCAGCTGTTAATTTCCCAAATTGTTAAAAGGAAATGCTGTGTTTTTGAGCAGGAATCTGTCTAGTCTAACTTAAAATCCATGTTGTTATGCCCTCGTTTGTCATATTAAAAAGCTCTCTAGCTATCAGAAATTTTCTCCTCAAATTGTGTTTCAGAGAAATGCAGGTCATGTTATTCTGGAGAAATAAAAAAAATGACTTGATCATAAACCTTAGAACCT